CACCGCAGAGTCGCGAGGGTCGTGGTACAGTGGCTCACGCCATGTTTATTCCGCAGCGCCGCCTTCGGGGAAGCTGAGCAGCGTGGAGGTCATGGGGTCACGACGGGGGGATCCGGAGGACACGCGTGGGCGGGGGGTACATGTGAAACCCCGTCTTTTATAAGAGGTGAGGCGCAGAATTAAGCACGAGCGCCCCAGTGGGGCCTTGTAGTCCGCGGCTACTCGGGCGAGGCAGGGGAGGAATGCTGCGACCGGGACGGCGGAGCTGGGTGCAGGTTGAGCAGGATCGTGCCACTTGCACTCCAGCGACGGAGTCTCATTCTGTCCCCCAGGCTGGAGTGCAGTGGCACCATCTTGGCTCACTGCAACCTCCGCCTCCCGGGTTCAAGCGATTATCCTGCCTCAGCCTCCTGAGTAGCTGGGATTACAGGCGCGTGCCACTACACCCAGCTAATTTTTTTGTATTTTTAGTAGAGACAGGGTTTTACCACATTAGCCAGGATGGCCTCAATCTTCTGACCTGGTGATCTGCCCACCTCGGCCTCCCAAAGTGCTGGGATTACCTGTGTGAGCCACCATGCCTGGCTTTTTGTTTCTATATTTATTTATTTATTTTATGGTTACCCCATTTATAAGAATGTAGGTTGCATGAGAGTGAAACTTTGCCATATGCATTGCTACCAATGCCTTGCACACTGTGAGCACAATCTATGCTGGTTGGATGAATGAGCATTTCATAGTCTCCAGAATCTTAAGGCTCTTTACCTCAGGAGCAGCAGTGTGCTCTGCAGAATGGTCACAGACAAGGAATTGTTAAGTCTTCCCCACCAAGCCTTACAAGAAATCTATTACTTGCTTCCTAGTGCATGACATCCCATGACCAAGTGCCAAATATTTCATTCTGTGAATAAAGATGTTAGTTAAAATGTAAATGTTAAAGTAACTTTAACTAACCACACTGGGAGGCTTGGGCTGTTTTCTTAATCAGACCAAGGGACAATAGAGGTGAAGAGAAGACTGTACATTCCTCAAGCAGAGATGCAGGAAAAGGTTTCGGGAATATAAGCCTGGGTATTTGTCTAAAAGATCTATACTTCCAGGCACTTAATTTTGCCAATAGTTGATCCTTGTTTGCTTTTAACATGAAGGGAAAAACAGAAGCTGTTGCTGCCACCAGTGCCCTGTGAAGATTTGTAAAGATTTTAAAACTTTTCTTCTTATGTAAAGATTTAATTGTAAGAGCTGTTAGGCTGGGCGCGTGCAGTGGCTCACGGACCTGGTGGTGCGTGTCTGTAATCCCAGCTCCTCAGGAGGCTGAGGCAGGAGAATTGCTTCAGCTTAGTGGGAGGAGTTTGCAGTGAGCTGAGATCATGCACTGCATCTCAGCCTGGGCAAGAGCAGGACATGTAGTCTCAAAAAAATAAAATAAAATAAAAATAAAAATGAAGTCTTGTCAGAAGAGGTCTTGGACACACTGCCTTCGAGTGAAGAAATGAATTCTGTTAATTTTTTTAAATTATTATTATTATTTTTTGAGATGGAGTGTCGCTTTGTCACCCAGGCTGGAGTGCAGTGGCATGATCTCTGCTCACTGCAACCTCCGTCTCCTGGGTTCAAGCAATTCTCCCACCTCAGCCCCCCAAGTAGCTGGGACCATAGGCACGTTGTGCCACCATGCCCAGCTAATTTTTGTATTTTTAGTAGAGACGAGGTTTTGCCATGTTGGCCAGGCTGCTCTCGAACTCCTGACCTCAGGTGATCTACCCGT